TTTTCAAAAATTGGTACCATTATAACATCATTGAAGGGGAGTTTTATCTACTAAGTGGATTTATTATGAATGCAGGACTTATCAAGCTCTTAATTTTACAAGAAATGTCCAGGAAATCCTTTTATGATGGACAATGAGCAAGGCCATTAGTACTAAGGACATATTCAAGGCTATATTGAGTTTCCTAAAAGTTTCTGATACTGAAAATAAAGGAAACATGCTGTGTACAATTGGGAGACACTTCTGTATCTCAATGCAAAATACAATCAACTGTATCAGCATCAAGAAAATGTAGCAATTAATGAATAATTTAGGGAACAATTGACATATTTCATAAACCTGATACTGTAAAGCCCGAAATCTTTACATCGTGCGCCGCAACATGACAATAACAAAACATGTAATTGTGGGTTACCAAAACAGGGTAAAATGGTCAGAGCATATGTCACAGGCTTTGTTTTTGATACATTTGTATGTTTTAATAAATAAAGAAATTGTTTTCAAGAATTTTTATGCATGGTCTTGGCGAAGGATTATATCCTTTGATCGGTATCTCGGGGATGCATAAAAAATGTTTATTTATTAAAATGTTACTTTTTTCTTAACTTTTCTTCTCAAATAATACTTACTAATAACCCTCTAAAGGATTATATAATGCAGTATATGTTTTCCTTTGAAAAAAAAAATTATTATTATTTTTTGAAAATAATTTTGACTTTTTGAGCAATATTTCCTTGAATGATCTGTTGCCTACAAATAGTCATAACTTTTTTATTTATAAGTCTATTCTTTTGAAATTTGAATATGTTTTATAGTATTGAACACATTCTAATAAATTATCAATTTTATTGATTTAATTTGAAACACTTTTTTTTTTCCTTCTTTGTAAACTGTGATGTTATGTTTTTGTTGACTTAAAAAATTATTTTTTTTTGCCTAAAAATAATAAAACATCAAATTTAGCAAGGATATTTTGAATAAACACCAAGCATCAATTAAAGAGCATCCAATTACCTTTAAAATGATATATAATACTTGGAGGTAGCTACAAAATTACAGTCATGAGACACTTTGAAGAATAAGATATATTCAAGGTCATTAAAAAATGGAAAAATCTACAGTCTTTTGAGAGTTAATATACTAGACTCTGTAAAGCACCAAGTGTCATGGAGGCATCCCCGCTCTAAACACTGGCACCAGTTAGATCTCATAATCACAAGACGCACACAACTGGCCAGTGTCCTCCTCACACGCAGCTACCACAGCACAGACTGCGACACAGATCATTCCTTAGTGGCTAGCAAGATAAGGCTACAGCCAAAGAAACTGTATCACACCAAAAACAAGGGTAAACCACGCATAAACATCTGCTCCACTAAAAACCCAGAGAGAACAGAAGTATACACCCATAGTCTACAAGAAGCTCTTATACAAACGCCACCAATGGACACTATTGAGTCCAAATGGTCACATTTGCGGGACACTATCTATAACTCGGCTATCACGGCATTTGGAAAGAGAGAACGCAAAAGTGCAGATTGGTTAGAGGCCCATTGGCAGGAAATGAAACATGTCACCGATGCAAAAAGAAAGGCCCTCTTAGCTTATAAAGACGGACCTTGCCCAGCAACTCTACAATCGCTTAAAAGCGCCAAGACAAATGCCCAGCAGGCAGCTCGCCACTACGCTAACACATACTGGCTCAATCTAAGCTCCAGCATACAATCAGCTGCTGATAGAGGTGACCTTGCCCAGCAACTCTACAATCGCTTAAAAGCGCCAAGACAAATGCCCAGCAGGCAGCTCGCCACTACGCTAACACATACTGGCTCAATCTAAGCTCCAGCATACAATCAGCTGCTGATAGAGGTGATGCAAAGTCAATGTACGAGAATATAAAGCAAGCAACAGGCCCTCTGATCTCCAAGACTGCGCCCTTAATGTCCAAATCAGGGGAAATTATTACTGATTGAGATAAACAACTTAAGCGGTGGATAGTGCACTACTTGGAAATATACACAACGATAAACCAAGTCTCAACCACTGCCCTGGACGATATCCCAGACTTGCCGGTCATGGAGGAGCTTGATACCCTACCCACAATAGAAGAGCTACGTAGAGCCATCGATTGTCTCGCCAGTGGGAAAGCCCCGGGCAATGATGGTATCCCACCAGAAGCTCTCAAATGTGGAAAAGGAGTACTATTACGGCCCTTGCACGATCTCCTTACTTTGTGCTGGGAACAGGGACAGCTACCACAAGAGTTGAAAGATGCAAACATCGTTACATTGTACAAAAATAAAGGAGACAATAGTGACTGCAACAACTATCGTGGAATCTCCCTCCTCAGCATAGTTGGAAAGGCTTTCGCCCGAGTTGCATTAACACGCCTAAAAATCCTAGCATCGCGTGTACTCCCAGAATCGCAATGTGGTTTTCGCGTCGGTAGGTCAACCATAAACATGATCTTCTCTCTGCGCCAGCTGCAGGAGAAGTGCAGGGAGAAACATATGCCTTTATACATTGCGTTTGTCGACCTCACTAAGGCTTTTGATCTTGTCAGCAGAAGCGGCCTGTTTCAGATCCTCAAAAAGATAGGCTGCCTTACGCGACTGCTTAACATCATCAAGCAGTTCCACGAAAACATGCAGGGCACAGTGTGCTATAACGGTGCCGCCTCGGAAGCTTTTCCAGTGAGTAGTGGAGTTAAGCAAGGTTGCGTGCTGGCTCCTACTTTATTTGCAATCTTTTTCTCCATCCTACTCCAGTATGCCTTTCAGAACAACAGCGAGGGGATATACATCCACACTAGAGATGACGGCAAATTATTCAACATTGCCCGCCTTAGAGCTAAGACTAAAACAAGAAAGGTCTTGCTGCGAGAGTTCTTGTTTGCGGACGATGCCGCTTTGGTATCTCACACAGCTGACGGCCTGCAGAGCCTCGTATCCAGCCTATCCGCTGCCTGCAAAGAGTTTGGCCTGACAATTAGCCTAAAGAAAACTAACATTATGGCACAGGGCGCTGACTCCCTCCCCACTATCGCCATCGACGACTACGACTTGGATACTGTTGACAGATTCACATATCTGGGATCCAACATATCGAGCACCCTCTCAATGGAGGATGAGATAAGTGGGAGGATAGGGAAGGCCGCAACTGTTATGGCCAGACTGAAGAAAAGAGTCTGGTCAAACGCCAAACTAACAACAAGAACTAAGCTGCAGGTGTACCAGGCCTGCGTACTGAGCACACTTCTGTATGGATGCGAGTCGTGGACCACATACTCTAACCACGAAAGAAGGCTCAATGGCTTCCACCTCAGATGCCTGCGCCACATCCTTGACATTAAATGGCAAGACAAAGTCCCCAACACGGATGTCCTGTCCCAAACAAACACGTGTAGCGTCCCAGCCATGTTAATCCAAAGACGCCTCCGCTGGCTTGGACACGTCAAGCGAATGCAATCTGGTCGCATACCAAAGGACGTGCTATACAGCGAGCTGGCGACAGGGAAAAGGTCAGTTGGACGGCCTCGTCTGAGATACTTAGACATATGCAAAAGAGACATGAAGTCCTCTAACATCCACATCTCAAACTGGGAGGAGTTGGCAGAGGATCGATCCTCATGGCGGGGCATCGTGAAGCCAGGATCACTACATGCCAAGGATCAAAACAGGGCGGAAACAGCTGCAAAAAGAGCGAGGAGGAAGGCCGGTAAATACTGCTCCACCGCATTCGTGTGTGGGAAATGTAACAGAGACTGCCATTCGAGGATTGGTCTCACCAGCCACACCAAGAGCTGCAAGCAATAAAGATAATCTATCGTCTCCCGCAGACGGAAAGATGCCATACAAAGCGCTTCGAGCCTTTGGGGATGAAGAGTGATTTTCAAATTAACTTTATTATTATTAATGTCTGAAGTTAGACATTTGTGTTTTTGTTAAAAGGTTATTAAAACTGAAACTACAATTTTTTTTTATATGCTTTTATTTCATTGATTAATCATCACCTCTAATCTTGACACAAAATTCTCTTAATATTGACAATATAGAAAATATCGGGATTCTGGTATTTGTTAACTTCAATATCGAAAATACGGGTTTGGTAAAAAGGGACCGGTTTTGCGACCCCTAGTATGTACTATATGTTAAACTTATGATTAGCATGTCTCTAAATAAAACATCATAGAAAGAGATGCTTAGTTATTTACTATACACTTAGTATATCTGGGGTGCTGGCTGGTTACAATTAATATTTTTGGTGTACTGCAAATAATCTGTTAAAATATGAAATAAAGTATTTCAAATCACTCTTAATCATAATGCAGTTTATGTTTATTTAGAGCTATGGAAACCTTCCTGTTAGTAAGAAAGATACAAAATCAATCTTGATAGGGGATAAGATGTCTCAAGAGACAAGTAGTTTTTTTAGCAACATTCTAAATAATTATTTGCAAGCATATGTTAGATTATCAAAAACATTACCATTCCATCTGTAACAGCAAATGGAAGTAACAAGGACATGATCTTAGCCAGGTAGTTTACATCAATTGAGTCCAAGATTTCTTTGTTTTCTTCAGCAACAACCAAAGCCTTAGTCACACCATAGGTCAGAGTTGGAACATTACCACTGTCAATGTCAGTCTGCTTGGAGGATTAGAATATATTTTATAAATTTGTTCATACATCAATAGCTCTCTTTCTGTTAAATAAATAGGTTATAATAAATCTGAAAAATATTTTCATGACCCATTTACGGCAGGTCATAGTAAACACAACTAATCAAAATACTGAATCAAGTTCAGAAATAGTTGTGCAAACTAGCCTCAATTTAACTTTGGGTCTTCTATACTACAATATTGTTTTTATTCTTCAATTTTAAATAAGATAATATCTTAACTGTGAACCACATGATACTGACAGCATCTCTTTCCTTCTTTTACATCTTTAACGTAATATTGCTTTTTCTATAAAAAACAACCAGAAATAAAGAAAGGAAAAAAAATTACCTTAGCAAATCTGGCCAATTTGCGAGTAATATTTTTAACAAAGTTACAGGCAGACACATTGAGATTTCTCCACCTTCCATCGACATCACATTTGTAAGTGACCATTGAGCCTTTCTCCCCTTTAAGGCAGGGTTGAGACACAACAAGTCCTGCCATAGAAACAGCCCATGAATAAGTGCCCTTGGATGTTCGATTAGTGACAGAGGGGCACTCAAGCATAACTTCGGGTGTTCTTACTTCCACATGGACCTATTTAAATAAAAATATCAATTAGAAAAAATGCAAAGTAATAAATACACTTTTTTTTTAAAGTGGCGGCTACCTTACTCTAAAATAAGTAAGCTGCATCATTTGACACAATAGAAGCAATGCTTAAGATTATAGAAGAATTGACAAGTTAGTAAACTTACAGTTTTGGTTAAATTCCCACTATCTGTTGTCACTACACAACTCCATTCTCCAGCATGTGATGAGTCTAGACTTTCTACAATGAGTCTGTGATTGAAGATGGTGCGGTCAAGATTTTGAGATGTATGCACAAATACACCCATGGTTTTATTGGATGTCACACGTTGGCCCCCACGAAACCAAGCTATGTCCATATTATTAGATAGTGCAGATGCATGACACTCAAATGGAAGTTTATCACCTTGAAAAACCAATTGACTTTCAGAGGGTCGAATTTCAAAAATTGGTAATTGTAGATTATGATCTGTAAAAAGGGTTTGTGATTGGTTAAAATATCAGCATAAGAAATAAATAGATGGTGTGATTAATTTATTTAAATAAATAAAACTTTCATATATTTTGCAGTTTGAATCCTACATAAGGAATCAAAATAATAATTTTCCTACATAAGGAATCAAAACAATAATTTTCTATCAACCACATGGATCATTCAGCTTGACTTATACTTACTTTTGAAATTTTATTTTATAGACATGATTCGAAAACTTTGTTGATTACCAATAATTGGTTCAAAGTTTTGTTTCTGACAAAACACTGAACTTGCATTAAATTTTACCATTAATTTATTAAAGAATCGATCAGCAGTGTGCCCCAGTACTCTAGTATAAACATTGGTAACTTAGTTTAATAATTGTTTTTTCAAGAATACTGACTCATTTCTTAAATGACTTACATTTATAACTTTCAATAAATAGTTTTGGCCAAGGAAAGAACAATTTTGAAAAGCAAATCTTTAGTTTCCTTAACAGAAAGGATACAGGGGACCATTTGGTGAGAATATTAATTACTTACCGCAGTGCAAATCCTTATGCTTTAATTTTGTCAAAGGCAATCCTTTCATTTTTGTTGGAAGTCCACAAACTGTAGTTCCTGGAATTCGCACATGTTGTTGCTTGGTCCACTTGAGAATCCATTTCAAATGGCAGTCACAACGCAAGTATTCAGAATTAAACTCACTGAAATAAATAGGAGAAAACAGCTTTATAAGAAATAACTTATGACCCTGTAACTGGATGTTTGAGGCATTTCTACTCTTCAATGTACTCATTACTTACAGTATGGGAACTTTTTTTTTAATAACTAGTCACATGCAAGAGCTTGCTTACTTACTCTTACCTCAAGTGTATACAAATATATAAAGCATTTATCAGCGTATAACATGCACAGGCGTAGAACACGCACCATTCGCACCGCTATGCCGTAGGTACTATGGGTCCTTAACATTATATTGGCCTATAAAACGCACACATCATTTGCCCCCTATTTTCAGGGAGAAAAAGTGTGTGTTATACGCCGATAAATACGGTATATATATTTTTTATTTGTTTAAATTAGCATTTTCTTTCATTCATAGGTACCATAAGTAAATGAATCATGAATTTCAAGTACTATGAATATTACTAATTATTGTTACATATTATGGTTCTTCATGAAAACTGATAAGTGAGTTAATGCACTTAAAATAATAGTTTTCCTTACTTAAAAAGGTAAAAAGAGAGTTTAAAAAAATATATGATGACCAGAAGTAACTTTAATCAATAATCATTATAAACAGCTATACCAAAATAAGTACATTTAATTAAACTCACATTCTTTTCATAGACCTTAGATCATTGAAGGTGCCATCTGGAATTACTGATATCCTATTTGTTGAGAGCACTCTAAAAGGGGATAAAAATCAAAGTTAAATGCAAACAGCTACCAAAGGTAAATTATTTTTGAAGAGCATAAACATATTAATTAGGTTTAAGTTTGATGGGCTGATCTATCAACCAATTTATTGTTAGACAGGTTCAAGGGCTCCTGGATCTCTCTGTCCTTTTGCTGTGGGTTTAAACTACTATTGACTTAACCCCACCACTGCCTTTTGAGGAAAGAAAAGGTGTCTGCCTCGTTGGGGGATTACAGATCAACTTATTTTCTGAAGCCCTTGTCAGGTGCTAATCATTTGTTAGAAAGTTTTCATCAGCCAATGAGACAAGAAGAGGAACCAATGAAAATGAAGGGAAATAAAATAATAAACTTGAATTTGTTTAAAAAAGACTGTGCTGTATCAGCCTTGCTTTAATTAACTTGATTTCAGTCATGATTTTCAAAAGGGGCAAAGAGTGCAATATATATTACAGACCTGTTTACCCTCAAACTCTTAAAATCGTACAATATCATCACAAAATCGTTCAATACATTATCTTAGAAGTAAAAAAAATAAACATACAGCATATATAAGTATATAGGGCAAAATTGTACATTGTACGCCAAAATCGTAAAAGTTAACAGGTCTGATATTAGGTAAAACTATATCTAGGTGACAAGATACAAAATTAATAGTTATAAGATTAATTACGGATGAAAATGAAGAAAACTTACAATTTTTCTAAGTTCGGTAACCCAGTGAACATATTACTATTTATTGCTCCAATCATGTTGTTAGATAAATCTCTGAAAATGAAAAGAGGAACAGGTTTATTTTGAAAGTTAAAAAATTACATTAAAAAATAATAAGCCAAAGTGTTTCTCAATTTTTGCAAAGAATATTTTAAAGAAATTTTTTATTTCATGCAAGATCATTTGTAATTTACATTAATCTATAGTTTAAGATGAATTTTTGCTTAAATAAAAAAGCTAGTGTTTACTTACAGTTTCTTTAAACTCTGCAAGCCATCAAATGCACCTGGTTCTATAAATGCTATCTGGTTACTACTCAGATTTCTGTTAAAAAGACCAAGGAAAAATATTGCTAAATAAAAATCTTTACAAAAAAATCTTATTGTTGATAAAAGCCATAAGTCAAAAACAATGTAAAATCCAAATACAAATTCAATGAAGAATAATGTTTCAGTAGTTTCAATAAAAAAATAATCTTACCACATGCTTTCCTTTTACTAAAATTCTATGACAAAAATATATTAAGAATAATATCATTTGTGCTGGTTGGGATCAGTATAAAAGGAAGCTATCACTAGAATAGATTTGATGCATTATAATATCCGTGCCATCTTTCATCAAATGACTAGTAGATAGAATCTTTTATTACATCGACTTTAATCCTTTATACCAATATCTTGTGAAACACCTGTAGCAAATCTTTTCGTTATTATCGAACTTTACAAAAGTGATAAGTATTGATATGCTTATCAGGAACAAATTTTTGAATCTTTGAATGCCCACGATATTATCACTCTTGCTGTTAAAAGCCCATTAAAGGGCCATTGAAGAGCATACAGAAACAGGCATATTTTTCAAAATCTCAGAACGTACAACAGTAAACGGTAGAGATTTAAAAGTATGTCCTATGATATTTTTGGTGTGTTAGCGTATGTAACACATGACCTAACAGGGAAGGACTGATAGATAAGGGAGTAGCAAATTATATATTAAGCAAATATTTTTTTTTAAAAACAGTCAAAAGCAAGAATCATTTCAAGCCTTTATAACCAAGGTACAACCAAGATAATGTACTGATTTTATCTATTTTGGCATCCTTAGTGGAGTAAATATTGGTGCACCCAGAAAACACAGAGACAAACGTTTGTGCATTTTGTAAGGTTTTAACCTTTAAATAGAATTATAATCCAATTTTATTTTATTTAATAAATTGTTTTCACTATTGGGGAAAAACCTACAAACACATGAGTTGTTTTCTCTACAACATGATTAGTTTCATGTAACTCTAAACTAAAATAAGAAACAAACAATTTTAGTAAGATGCTTAACAGATAATGGTGTTTCAGTTATAAAAAAGCAAATGGCAGTCAGAAAGACAACTAGAATAATCAAGTAAATGAGACAAATCCATTTCACTTCAAGAGGCTTCAGGTAGGCATTCAAGCATGAAATGAGGCAACAGTACTGGAAAGTTCTGAGAAATTAGGAAACATGGTCTGATGGCATTCCATACACTGCCAAATGGTAGAAAACAAGCGCCAGGTGAGAATGAAAACCAGGTGAGAGATGGAGAAGAAGGGTGTGGAGATAGAATGAAACACAGAGAGAGACTATAACTATGTATAAAAAGAGACAAGCTGTTTAACCCTTGAGACAACTTATTGCCAAACTTTCCTTTCCTGCTTTGTTTCTTAGTTTCTTTAAGCTTTGGGTTACATCTTCTTTTTATTAACAAATAATATAAGCAGATAACTCCTAAAGTGTTATGTATAGTTGGGATTTATATAAGAAATTGTGTCCATTCAGAAACTTTTCTAGTATAACATTGATTTTTACTCCAATTAGAAATGTTTTATATATATATATATATTTTTATATTCTGATAAGATTCTTTACTGATCCAAATAAATGGAAATATTTGTTTAATTCCATTATACATATTCATTTTTAGCACATAAATAAATACATATTTAAACCAAGACAACATTTTACAGTTATAACAATTTAAACACACGGCATCTAAAGTATTTCTTTAGCCTGAATATCAGCCATAAATGAACTCCTATAGTGACAATAATGACTTAATTAGTGATCATTTAGATTTGGTAACCACTGGGGGGCACACTGGTAAGTTCGTACAGACTGGGGAAAAAAAGGATATGCCCTAACTTAAGAGAAAGAATTCTCCCTGATCCATCATCCAAATCTTTTTTTTTAGTTTTACAACATTTTTCTGCAAATAGTTCTCCAAGTGAAGGATGCTTAGTTTGTGGGATATTACTACCTTTCTTCATTAGTCTATTTAATCGGTGTTTGATGTCAGAGATGAATTCTAACACCAGCAGGTAATACTGAATTTCAGCATGCTTCCAACTGTTGCACTGTAGAATAAGCTAATAACTTGTTTGCCTAATTTGTGCAACTTTTTAAAGAAAGAAAGTCTTTGGTAGACATTTTTATACAGAATACCTAGGTAATTATTTCTCTCTACTTGCTCTATTCAGTGATTATTTACTGAGTTATGTACAATTGGGTGACGGAAATATACAACCATTTCTTTCTTTTTTGAGACATTGCTGCAACTTAACGATTTGAAAGTAGAAATTATTACATGTGAATAATCACATATTACTGGTATAACTAATTTCAGGGATTTCATTTAATTACACAAAATTTAAAAAACCTGTATCAATGATTTCAATTCAGTACACAATATTTCAATATTTTAAAAAACATGTACTAATCTGAATTAAATCAATATGAATTTACACAACTTCCACACTTAATGACCACAACAGAAAAATCTTTGGATCTTATGCTACTATTAATTAAAAGATCAAACCACAGGCTTCCTACATAAAGTTTGCTT